GGGTCATGTGTTGGTTTGAGCCAGCTTCTAGGGGAAAAATCACTATCTAGAAACAGCAAGTGTTTAAACAATGAACTGACAGCTGCCGATCCATTAGACCCCTCCATGGGGCCAACTCCTGCTCTTTTCAATTTCACTGTGATCTGTAGATACAACTTTTGATGGCTGAGCTGGTGTTGATGGGCTGTGTTTCAATAACACCTGCACTTATCAGAGCAATACCTCTTATCAGAGGACTCTCACATAAAGTCCTTTATAAGGAAGAGAAACAGTGCCTGCATGGAAAGGGAGAAGAAAATATATACGTACCTCAAGTTCTGTATGGCCCATTTAAGTACTTGTAGAGTAAGAACTACAAGCTTGAAGCTCTTGATTTACACTATATTCTCCTGGCCATTTTCGGTAGTATCTGGATACATCTTTAGCTAAAGTTTAATCCAAATAGCTAATTCTCGTAGTTTGCTTAATTAAGTACTAATTTAATGATGGGTGTATGTCTTCAAAAATATCTTTCTAGTGATGGGTTTAAAGAAGGTAGGTGAAAGAATATTTTCTTCAGCTTCTACTTCAGGCAACTACAATCCTTTTAATTTTCTCTTTACTGGAGTCAGATGTTCATAATCACCAGCCCTCGCAAACAGCCTAGGGGTTTGGTACAGAGTTTCACAGAAGGAGAGTAAAAATCCTGGGTGAAGATAAGCCTTTGATTCCTTTAATCAGGGTCTTTCCTCACCTTTGATTTGATTCTCTGCTGAATTGCTCCTTCCTTTCAGTCCCTTGGGATGTCTTCATTTGGGATTCCTGGTTTAGATTTTCAGTTAATGTTTACACCAGTTGGCTCTGCCTGTCCACCTGAATTTGGGCCCAATGCTTGCCCTGACCAAATCTCCCCAGATCTGCCAAATCTTGATTGTTTACTTGGTTCTTAACCCCATTTCCTTCCCTCACCTCTGATCCTTAATAACTGCACTTCTGCTTTCCCAAACACAGGTTTAACCTGCAACTGTCTGTGCCTAGGCTGAAACTAATCAGGTTATAGCTCTACCAGTTTGACTAAATTGAGCAGTCAGTTTCACTGAACGATCAGTTTAATTTACTTTTCAAAAATCAGTTGCACTAGTTCTGCAATTCAATGGATTGATTTTTTGTTTTGCTTTGTTTTGGTGGCTGGCTGGTATGGGGATCTGAACCCTTGACCTTAGTGTTATCAGCACCACCCTCTAACCAGGTGAGCTAATCAACCAGCCTGTGATAGACTTTTTTTTTTCCTTTTTGTCTTTTTTTTTCGTGTCCGGCAACGGATCGCAACCCTCAGTGTCGCGCCCGTACTGGACTGGGACCGGCAACGAGATCGCAACCCTCGGTGTTGCTCCCACACCTCGCTCAGCCAGTGAGCAGGAACCGGTCTGTATGTGGGATCTGAACCCTCGGCGGGAGCACCACCGCGCTCCCAAGCGGCGCACTGTAGCAGTGCGCCACCAGGCCGGCCCATGATAGACTTTTTAAAAAATAATTACTCAGCAAATTTTTGACTACTCTAAAATGATAAAGTCAAAACAGAGAATTGGTCATGTTTCAAACAGTATCCATTTCTTAGCCTTTTTCCCTCTGCAAGATACTGAGTAAGTTTGGTAGGTATAGGGAAGAAGCATTTTTTAATTTCATATTCTAAAGTTCTGTAATTTGACCCCAAAGCTGAAACAGCCTGCCTTATCCGATCAGACCAAAGTAGACAGCAAGGGACACGTAAAGTTGCTGCCATGAGGCCCGTAGTAGGTAATATCTCCATTATCTAAAACCCAGTCTGGATATTCTATTCACATATTCTATTCCATTTAGTAGTTACCAGTGTTTGGGCTTTCCTTCCTCAGGACAAGTGTAAACACCTTGAGATCGGGCATGTGCAACTCATCTTTGTACTGTTCACAATACCTGGCACCAAACTCAGTGTCCAGTAAGTCCCCAACAATCACTGAGTTGAGCTGAATTCATGGTTAACCTGAAGAAGGAAAAGGCTTACACTGAAAAAGACTCATGCATTTTTTTAGGTGGTAAATGTTTATATAACACAGGAACAAAGGAGGATGTACATAATACCTTCTGGAAGTTCCTCAAAAGAACCTCAGGGGAACCTTTAACCACTCAGAATAGATTAATGTCATGTCACCTTGACGACAGGGAAAGAAAACCAAAATAAGTTTAGCAGTCAAGCAACCACTTCAAAAATTAAAGCTGCTGCTAAATAAATCCAGTATAATATTTTTTTTTACCAACAAAGTCATAAAGCATTGGATAGAAATATAACATTAAAAGATTCATGAGTCCTGCTTAATCCATCCAGAATGAGATGAACTGTGGAGCAATTTTATCTGGACATGGAAGAATCCAGACTCCTCTATATCAGACAGAAACATTCAAGCCAATGAGATAAATGCAAACACTGGGAAACATTCTCTATGTATCATCAGAATATAGAGCTACACAAGTTATAAAAAAAATGCTGAACAAAGTCTGTACTACTAGTGCTGTCAAAATGCTGACATCGATTTTATTCACTTCTTGAGATCTAAATTAGAAAATCAAAAGAGATCAGATTGAACACAGGTCTTTATGATGTACCATAATCAAAGAAAATATGGGCTGGGACTACAGTGCATAATGGAAGGTCCTGAAGGATGGAATTTGCTGATTCTGAGATGGAGGGATGAGCTACCATTCTCAGAATGAGCTTTGTTCCACAAGTTAGTGATTTGTTACACATGTCGCCAATTCACAGATGATTGCCATGTTGCTCAGACAAAAATCTGAAGCACTGTAAAGAATAAATAAGGAAAAGGAAAGACCTAAACCCACACAATTATGTGCAAATAAAGAAAAGGAAAACTAATTGGTTATCAAATGGCTTTTATCTTTACTTAAAAAAATACAGAGGCATAAAGAAGCAGTTCTTCCCTGGGGTTACATATAAAAGTAGAGTAGCTTAAAAATTTTAAGAGATTAGCTGTCATAGAGAGATGCATTTATAGAGAAAATAGAGATGCCAAAAGGAAGTGGGAGAGCTCAAATCTGGAATCTCTGCTTCCTTTGTCAAATTGCTCCATTAATTCATGTGCTATGTCAGGAGTCAGCAAACTGGTTCACGGGCAAAGTCCAGCCCACCCGCCTGTTTTTATACAGCTCCAGGGCTAAGAATGGTTTTGACATTTGTAGATGGCTGTAAAATATTTTTAAAAGGATGATATTTAATGACATACGAAAATTTTATAAAATTAGGGCCTAGGTATTGCAGGTGCATTTCTAAGCCCTTTGAATCTTGAGATCTGAAAATGATTTTTAATAATTTGTATGTATTTTTTCCTTTGCCCCAAAAAGTGCGTTGATTTTTCCATGGTATTTATTCCCATTTTCAGTTAATATTTGTATATTGGCTCTGTTTTAAAACTCAGATATTTATCTCAACAAAACATGAATAATTATTATAATTAATTATATAAGTATTTGAATTATTATTTAACCATGTATTTATATCTTGATGAAACTTTCTGAAAAATTTTTTTAAAAACTCAGCATCCGTAAATAAGGTTTTATTGGAACACAGCTACACCCATGAATTATACAGATTGTTTATGGCTGCTTCCACACTACAATGGCAGAATGGAGTAATTGTGAGACTGTGTGACCTGCAAAGCCTAAAACATTTATTATCTGGCCCCGTATGGGAAAAGTTTGGCAACCCTTGTATTATACCATTAATAACATACTTACACACAGAAAGAGGACATGACCAAATACGTTTAGAAACAGTCTGGGGCTTCATGCAACTTGATATCTGAAGAAAAAATATTCTTCTATGCAGATACACAGACATATTTACCACCTTTCACACACATATGGGACACCTACAGATGACCTATAAGGTCAGTTAATACATCACATGGATTCTTTTGATAGAGAGTGAATTCACCTGGAGAGCTACTTATGAGAAGAGATTAGCATTTGGAACAGATCCCTGGTGGTTTTACTCTGTCCTCTTTATGACTCTGAAATAGATGGGCTGCATTTGACTGAGCCTATTTCATGACATTCTAGAACCATGCAGCAGGAAGGAAAACCAAGGTTAGGTCTTTCCAAATTTAAATACACTGAATGTCACCAGTACTGATGAGAACCAAATTATTCTTAAAAACTTGCAACATTTAAAAAAAATTGCAGACTCCTTGGTGTCACCTCACTTCTGTACCCCAGAATGCATGTTAAGTTGTGTGTTTTCCAACTACTTGAGAACTTGGCCAGAGAGAAAATAGAGCACACACAGGAAGAAATATCATCGAATTTACTGGTTATGGAGTTCTTATTTTAGACAACTCAAGTATATAAATACGATCCTAACCTTTAAACATTCACAAAATGATATGCAAAAAAATATACAATACGAGGGACCAGAATTGGGCAGGGACAAGGACAGCTCCTGCAACTTCCTCACCAGTAGAGTTCTTTGTACTCCACAGTCTCTAGGGTCCTCTGACATTTACATTACACACAACCAGCCAAGCATTATATTTCTAATTTAGTCTGCTACTGTCTTATAGCATGTTGATTTGCTAAATATAATGTGTAGCATTGCCGTTGGGCAAAAAGTCACTGCCCACAAGCAGGCTCTCTGAGTAAAACTTTTCTGCAAAATATCTTTAATAGAGAAACAAATACATTTTTTAAAAGTTTACTTGTATTCATGAATGATGCCAAGAACAAAAACAACTAGTGGGTGGATGTAATATATAAATCAGTGAGTATTATGGAAAGCTGGCTATTTTTATTGGAATTTTATCATGTTGGAACATCGCAACATCTCTGTGGAAGCCAATAATTTAAGAGGCAAAGCAAGTGACCGTGGGAAAGAAGGCAGAAAAGCACTGTATCTTGTTCATGGGGTGAGGAAGGAGGTTTATACCCACTGGGCTCTAGACAAAGTGCTCTTAGAGAGCATTTCTTCTGCCACAGACAGTGTGGTTGGCTACAAATTCCTCCCATCTCTGTATCATGCCTTTTGCAAGGTAACTTTTCTGCGCCTCTCATCAAGAGGTGAAGTCTCTTTCCCTACCCCTTGAACCAGGACTTGGCCATGGAACTATAGTAAACATGACACAGCTGGAACCTTGCCTCTACCTTTTGGAGTTTGCCCTCTCTTGGTGCTCTTTGCAACGCTGAGTTCACCATGTGAAGACTACTGGACCCCATGGAGCAGAGACAAGCCTTTCCAGCTGTGGCCCCTTAGACCAACCACCCTGCCAACTACCAGACATGTGAGTGAGACCTTACTGGCAGCCCAGATCAGAAGCTCTCAAATACCCCCAGAATCAGGAGAAATCATAAATGCTTGTTATTTTAAGCCACAAAATTTTGGAGTGACTTGTTATACAGTGAAACCTAGAGTAGGTAGTGGGCCCTGAGTGGTTCTTGCAGTGGTTCTTGAGTCCAACCACGTTGCTCTTGCCTAGAACTTACCTGACTGCAGGGGCTATTGCATACAAGTCCAGTGAAGGCTGCTGGGCAACATGCTCATTGCTGAAGCTTGTTTAGGGGACCTAGGGTTACTCTAGGTCATGTGGCATCACGCAAACTCTAGGGGGCTTTCTTGGGCTGGCAGCCACCTCTGCAAAGGGTCTTATGAATTCTGAGTTGCTTGAGTGCCTTGCTGATCTACTAGAATGCTTCAGGTCTATCAAAGTTGGGGAAGCTCTTGGAACTTCCCCACCAGTTGAGAGTACTTTGTATTTCACAGCCTCTAGGGTCCTCTGACATTTACACTACACATGTTTCCTGGACTTGTTCTGGCTCTAGTGAGAATCTTTGGGCCACAGAAGCTCCAAGGACAGGGACAAAGATGAATATCCGCACTATAGGCTCAAGGGGTGGGATGGGGCCAGGCTCTCTGGAGGCAAACTGTCCTCATGAACAGGGTGGTTGACACTCCTCAGAGGACAGGAAATTTCATTGAGGGCCTGGGTTCTAGACTAGATTTGGCCACAGATGAGTTCCACATCCCTGACAAAATAATGCCTTCACTTTTCTGGGTCTCAGTTTCCAAATCTGTGAAGTAAGGAGAACTGGACTGGATGGTGTTTACTGTTTCTTCTGGATTTAACAGTCTTTGAGAGTTATCCTTCTGACTTTGTACCATGTTCTTCTCCATCCGTCACTTCTTTTGACCTTTGCACTGTCTTTTCCTCCTTCCCCAGAGTTGCGACATTGAGGGAGAAGTGAGGCAGTCACATTTCAGGCTGAGGACAAGAACCATGTACACAGACTCTACTCAGATGGCATCTAACTGTTGTTAAGTGATTTCTCTCAGGATAACCTCAGTGAGGGTCTGACGACAATAAAGGACTTAGAAGAGGAATTGTTGGAGGTAAGGGGAAGGAAGAAGCCAAAGATGAAGCCTGGGGAAAGAGTCCAATTTATTATCCTCTCTTGTAAATACTCTTTCATCCAGGGAGGGCATTCTCTCTCTCTCTCTCTCTCCCAACTGATCTCCTTGCTCCTTGCAACAGCAGGTAAAGAGTCAACCCATGGGTTTAGTTAACTTGCTTTCCTCTGTGAATTCTGTTATCCTAACAAAATATTGGTTTCTATACTGCATTAATAGAGTAACTACTCTCAGTTAATATGTACGGGGTTTTTTTATGGGGTAAGAGAATAAGGGAATAAAGGAAACAACTATTTAAAAAATCACGATTTAGCTCAGGGCTTAAGGATTGTTTTATACTGAATGTTGACAAACTAATCCCCTTTCAAAACCCAACAATGGCTTCCCATCAAATAAAATCATCACTAGTTTTTTTCTTTTTGTCTTTTGTCTTTTTCCGTGTCCGGCAACGGATCGCAACCCTCAGTGTTGCCCCCGTACCGGACCGGGGACCGGCAACGGGACTGCAAC